GAGAAGAAGTATTAAGTGGTTTTTAATGTTTTAGAATTAAACGAATGTTAATATAATTTTATTGATAACATGTTTTTAAATAATTCAATAAAGTTGCTTTGTATAGATTGTTAAGGATCCATGAAAAACAACAACAATGTTGGTTTAGGCCTAGAAAAACTACATCCGTTGAACGTAAGGAAAAGGTCTGTAACTACTTTACTCGAAACATATCCACAAATTCATATTATTGTTTCAAAAATAACTTTATCAGAAGTAAAATAGGGACGTGGCCAGTATACTGTTTTTTTTTATGTTTCGGGCGAATAACTTTCAAAAGTTGCTACTTGGTTTTTGTTTTTAATCTTAGTTGCTTTATTTTTGTAAGTTTCTACTGTAAAGATACCAAGCTCAAGAAAAGTGGCGAAAACGTCCTTCTTTACATATTTTTGCATGCACATCCTGTAATTGCGTCATGAAGTTCAGTGTCAAATGAGAAGTTATCTGTAAATAACGCACACATGACGTTAAATTAACATGGCGGACTCTGGTCCTGTATGTAAACAAGTGAAACAGTTTCACCTTTACAGCAGCTAATATAAAACACAATAATATAACTTACGCTCTTCAGTTTTGCTCAAAATGAGAGAAATCGCTTCTCTAACCCAGTAAAGCATCACATAGGTACAAGGCTTACATTGACTCAAATAGTTGAATCCAAAGTGACTACTTATAATTCAATTATCTTTTAAAAAACTTTCTACAGTTAAAGATATAAAAAATATCATAATTATTAATGTTCCCGTGCAATAAAAGAGATAATTTCTTATAAACAGTCTGGGACTTCCTCCTTAGCAGGGGGCTTCATGATAAAGACAATATCTCACCTTTACAAAAACATGCCCCTGGATCATAACTTGCTAAGAACTTTGAATATCTACAATTTAAACGTAACGTCAAATGAATTTAACGTTCTTTTCTTTTAAGCAAGTTACTATAAATCAGTTTGAGAAACCTTGTCCTTTCAAATGAAACAAGTTACATGGGCAGGACTCGGGCAATGGTATGAGGCCATTCTCCACAAACTTTGCCTATGTAATATAATAGGTAATCAGCTTAACTTTGACAAGAAGTGTTGCTTGGATAGGTATAAGATCTAAAGACCCATTGATTAGGTATTGGCGTGTGAGACCTTACGGTTGAAAGACATTTAACATAGAGTTGTATATAATTACTACGTATTCCAAATGAACTGAACGTCCTGTAAAATATTCTTGAAATGTGTTATCAATTTCAGATTTTAATCCTTTCTTTGACTGACTACTGGCTAAAAATCAACTCTTTAAATATTTTAGTTTGGGTATAAACAAATCATAGACCAAACAGATTTAAAAGAACTATATGCTCTAATATAAACAATATGCCTCAAGTATCAAAGAAAAGATAAACTGATATATAATCAAATGCCACGCATCCATTTCATGATGTAATCCTCTTGTAAACTTGTTAAAGAAAAACGAACATATTTTCAGTACCATATCATTTCTAATATGACGAATTCAGTGAAGACAATAAATTATTATAAAGCCATAAATGTGTATTAAAAGAAAAAAAACGTAAACATTCATGGCCTTGAAATAAATAATATACAATTCAAAGCCCTGGTTTCGTTATAAAATCCCAAGCATGGCAATATATACTGGTACCAAAAAAACGGAGCTTGAATAATATTAAGATAGATAACCCGTTGCAGCTAAGTTAACGGCCATGTTTATCACGTGTAACGAAACTTGTTTGTTCGTTGTTTCGTGAAACTATCTATCGCAGGAAATAAAACACCAGAATTAGGCGTTGTAAGCCGTAAAATTACCAGTGTCCCAGGGGTGGTGGTGGGGCTTAATGGAACTAAGTGTTCTTCTATCAAAAATATTCTACCATAGATTTATTGCATATTTTATTATGCAACATTTTCCTGCCCAAGAAGGGGTGAGGTACTTTAAAGAAAGGTCATTTTCTATACAAAACGACGAGATACTTAGTACCAAGATCATTGTTTCACGCTTGCTTATAGATAAAACAGATTTGTTTCAACAGTGATGATGGTGTTAACTTTACTCAAGGCACGAGATTCTGCATCAGTAATGATCGCAATTATTTTGTTATTACACTCGTTATAAAAAGTTCTAGACACAACTACTTAACTGAATAGAAAAAAACTTACGTTATTTGGAGATGAAGCCTGTCGTGATTAAAAAAGAAATTTATAAATCAATTAATAACGCATAAGTACCAAGAACGTTATTATTATTAATGACTTTTGTAAAGACTATATGTATCATTTTTGAATCTTTACGTTTTGAAGATAGTATTGATCTTGAGGCTTGTGAAGGTTAAAATGGGTTTGTTAACATATATAAACAATTTTATTCAGCTTAGTTTGGATCTAGATATTCTTCGCCACCAGGTTGACAGCCAAATAAGTTTAAATGTGTAAAAATTATTTTTTTAAATTTTGTTCCAAGAATATATTTCCACAGCATGTATCAGGCTTTCTCTGTAAAGCTTTTTTTTCACTGCACACCTTTATTGCATTACAAAAGAAACTGAATCATTTCAAACAGGACACCTCACGTGACTAATGGAAGTACAGGATGCAAGTTCGCTACATTTCGAACTCGGCTGATGCTAGATTTGACGAAATGCTAGATACCAAGTGCTCGGTATTGATCCGGAGTTGTACAGGATTCTGGAAGTTTGTAGGTGAAACAGGTCGACTTCGCGCACGTTATGTAGGTGGTGAAGTTGAGCAACAACTCTAGTGTATCAAAAGCATCACGCAATTGAAGGGCGTGTCTAAACTTAATAGGGCGACAACCCAGATTTTGACAAGGGTTCGATTGAGAAAATGTGTGAGACATTCATTATAAGATGAATCATGCCACTTTGTCAATGAAGGGGGTGTTAAATGTGAGCATAATGTATATAAATAGATACATTATAAAACGGAGAGCTACAAATACAGACGTTAAGTATGCTATGTTAAAACAATTTCGATACTTCACGACCTTGTTACAATCCACATGTAATGTGCGGTCATGCTCCATCTGGCGAAAAACTTTTTTACAACAGCCTTGCAACGTAGTTTCCATTGCAACAGGCTCCTTCTTAAGGACGACGTGTCCAAAATACACAACTCCTCCCTGTTGTCTTTCCATAAGCCATCTGGTGTAGACGGACAACTACTTCCTAGCAATCCTTTCAACAGTCCGATCACATAGAAATCCATGGGCGCTGCATCCAGCGACTTGACTGGTATGTATTCTTATGGAATAGCATCAATATCCATTTCATTTTCTAGGTTGAACGGATATATTGTGGAAGCACCAAATATCTTTTTTTATTATGTTGCGTACTGTTTCTTGTAGCGCCTAGAAAGCTTTTACCAGTGACCTTTGTGTCCTTGGATTCTTACCCATTACAATATGTCACATTTTGCTTACCACTAATGGAATATGACGAGTTACCGGTCTTTTTCTGGATGATCCTGGTGCCCCAAGTTCATCAATATAACTTTTTCCAATGCCATTAAGAACAAGGGTCATTCCCATCTTAGAAATTCTAAATCTCCGTCTAAACACATCTCTATGATCTCATTGTATTAATATTTTTTGTTGAAAAGAGCTGTTACATAGCCTTCCCAAAATCCTTAAATTTTTGGAGGCATAACTGTACCTACGAAACACCAAACAATGTCAAAATGTAGTCCTGATACATCGTTCTACATTGACTTTATATCGACTGCTGTCACTTGATCTACTGATGTGCATGTTCAAAATTGTTTAAAAACAACGTATGCAACCTTTTGTAAATTAAATATTTTACGCACTATAAAATAATTTTTTTATTAACTCCTTCATCACATTAAATTAAAACATGAAGCCATTGCCTTGTATGCATTGTAACAGAACTTTGCAAACAGTTTTCGCTGCGTTGTGAGAACACGCTGCTTCGTTTAGGCCTAATTCAGGCTATTTGTAAACAATTTGTTCAAACCCGTTAAGTGAATGTGGACATATTTTATGACGTAACATTTCAATTACTCACAGATGAAGAACTGCAGAGTGGTTTAGGCAGCAAAATTTTTCAGACGACAATTTTTGCAGCACAGTGAAAACACGCTGATTCATTTAAGCCTAATTTACAAACAACGTTGGAAATTTCGCCAGCATTCTAGACAAATTCTGTGTTGAAGTTAAACAGGTGCGTACTTTATACATTTATTGATAGGATCACGTGATAATGGGCTGTTATATTTTGAAAATTAAACAATTTATAAAGCTTATTCGTTTATTATTATTATTATTTACTCTTTAAGATTCACATGTAGGCCCAGGGATGTGGGCTAAATATACTATGTGACAGTGCTAATAAATAAGATTGGAAACATAAGGTAGAGGTAGAACAAAACAATTATTATCTTCTCTCGTAATTTTGGGTAACAAATGGTCAGTTGTCTTCATAACCAGTCAATAATAGTTTATTGTTAACTTGCATATGAATGGTAGATTTAATTACTGCGAATATAGATTTCACAAAAAAAAAAGTATATCTGTAGGTCTGAACTGTTCATTGAAAGCTTTGTTTTTGTTCTTACTTTGAAGCAGAGGACAACACGCTATCTTTATAATTACGTTGATATAACTCAAAACAGAAAAGGCTTTAATGATAACAAAAATATATGCCATATTATCTGATGTATTCAAATTACTTTATATCCACAGCTAGTACGTTTAGAAAATATGACAAACATGGGTTTAGTACGATTTAGAATATAAATTCAAAGTTTTATAAACAATATCACTATAAGATTTCTAAAACACATTATACATGTACACAAATATAAGTATACTTCATCGTAACGTAGGTAATTGTATATTATTATATACAGAAGATCGAAAGTAATTCTTACGCATGACGCAAATTATCTTTTTTTCCCAACAGAGGACGCTTTTGTTTCTTACCTGGAAGGAGGCTCTAGATGATGGGTAAGGATCAATGAAGACCTTATAAACAGTACAGTTGCGAATGTGAGAACTCAGATCTTCGGATGTTAAGCTCTGTTTCTGTGATGGTATACGCTTAAAACATTCTGTAAAACATTGAAAATAATAAAAGAACGTTACATTCAGATCTTGTGCATTCACATATTGCGTTAGTCAACATACATGTTCAGTGGTTTTAGTCGTTCAGATAGATTTACAGCAGCTTTGCATTCCGTGTGTAATATAAGTAAATACAACACCATTAATTTTTGTATAAATGATTATATTTCTATATATTCATTCTACGTTTCTGTCAAACATATGATTATGTTTGTGTGTAACCTAACATTCTACAAAGCGATCAAATTTATAAAATAACAATACGCTTTAAGAGCCGTATGGAAGAGAGAAAAAAGTGTGGTCAACGTTTCAGCCAAATGATCCACTTCAATTGCTGATGAAGGTAGTTTAGCATATTCTTAACCCAATTTATCTCCTTCCTTAAACTTTTGGTCACAGCTTAGTCGCTCGAGCGCCTTGATCGTGAATCCGAGGGTTCTTGGTTCGAGTCCCACATTTTGTGCCTGTTGCTACGCTATAAGAGTGATGGCTGTCAAATCTCACCATTCTGTCAGACAAGAGTTGCCTAAGAGTTTCTCGAATGCTCTTGATTCGCTGCTTTCCATCTAGTCTATTAGATCAAAATTAAAATTGGCAGTATGCAAATAGCCCTTGTGTAGCTTTGTTTCAAAATTCTAAACAAGCAAGCAAATATTTTTATGTAATTGCTGTTATTTTTTTTTATCATTTTTAGTTTCATTTACATCAGAAACATCTGTTACGATTGTCACATGAATTCCACGCAACGTATAAATTTAGTTTAAATTAGAAGCCGTTAACAAAATATATTAAGTACAATAAGACAAAATAAGCATACTGATGACATATGTGTTAATCTCATCTTTATAATCTTTCAAATGGTTATTTCAAAAAACAAAACTTATTATGAAGCTTAGAACTGTTGTTTTCATTAATTTATTTGAAAAGATACAACTTACGAATTATAAATTGTTAATTACTAAACATTCAACAAATGGCTTATAAAAATTAAAAACAAGAAAAGCGTTTATAAACTACAATTCTTTTTTTTTTCTGTGAAAAAGTTGTTGAATATTTTGTGTAAGCATGAGGACCTGTAGGCACTAAACTCTCTAATTGACATTACGGCCACTTTAGTTAAACTTAGCTTTAAAATTATAGCCAATAATAGTGTAGAAGGTTACAAATGTGAGTACAAGTGTTGTTTAAGTCTATTAAAAATCTATATTTAGAACTTCCTTTTAGTAAACGGTTAGCATCACCCAATATAGTCGTGATTATGCTGTAAATAGACTTGTAGAATTTGTTTACTATGTAAGTAACGCAAAAAATAATTTCCTGACGTTAATCCAGTTGCTATATTTGGTTTTAACGTTTAAATTGGCCAAAAAGACTAGAAAGTGCCAGACGTCATGAAAGGTTTCAATTAAGTAACATCAAAACGGTTAGAAAATTAAGATGTTTGTATAATGTGAGATCACCGATATATAAGACGGAGTTTATACCAGATTTAAGATATATATATATGTCCTTTATAATGAAAGGAAGAGGCAACAATAAAAAATGAAAATGTTTATTAACAAAAATTGTGCTTGGAATGGAAAAGAAAATATTTCAAAGAATGATACAACTGAAAATTACTTTCTTCAAGTGAAAAAATAACACAATTCTTGGAGTTGTCATTAAACAGAAAAACATCTGGAGACAAGACACCTTTTGATTCAGCGGATCTGAGAGGTACCTTCAAAAACAAAATGGCAACACTATAAAAGTCTAGTTTAGTGAGCAGCCTTCCTAACCTTATTCCAAAAATATTTCTATGCAATTGAGCAAGAGAATATAGTACAGCAAACGTTGGAAAGACCAGCTGAATATGTACAGGATTCTCAGAAAGTTATTGCTCTTACCATATTCAATCTGATTTACGAAAGAAACGCAACCAAAAATACCTCTATAACCTTAGTCCAAAAATGGCAAAAGTTAGTGTCTTTGGTTAACTAATTGTAGTAAAGAAATGGACCTTTTTTTGGTAATATTGGTATTATTATAATAAAATACTCGTTAATTGATAAACTCATATATATTTACATTAGTGGAAATAATCAGGGAAACGGTGAGGAAAAGGGCAAGTACTACGGGAATGTCATCCATTTATCGCATGAAAATACTGATAGCTTACACCATGACTAGTTGCCATCCAACCAATCAAGAAGTGCCACACAAGCATAAAACCAATACAATAATATAGGCCATCATACTATACCCAGTAGTAGTGGTATGATTACAGAAAGGCTGCCAGAACTGAAATACGGCATAATAAATGTATATAAATCAATTTTAGCCGCTTGAGAATACTCCGTTCGAAAAACTGTGGCAAGAGTCCATGTTTCATTAGGAACTACATACAAAACAACAAAGAAAGTACATGAAACTTGTATCGTTAATATTAGAATTGGTCGAGGTAGAAAACCAAAACTTTACAAAACTAATATTACGTATCTTAAAATAGATTCTTTACGAGACATACAACGGGTGAATATTTATCTTGCCAATTATTTTACAATAAATACGAATGTGAATGTTACCCAAAGGACAGTCAGTAAGATACACATTTGCACGAATTGGTGTGAACGGTCTGGTCAAAAACCACTGCTGAGAATATGTAACCAAACAAAAAATCTTGAAATGGGAATCACCACATACAGTGGAACGCGCAAAGCTTTTGAAGACGTGCTCATTAGAGATAATTCCATGTTCAAATTGTCTTGTAACAAAACAACAGCTTGTTCTAGGGCAGAAAGTAGAACGGTACCATTTGTCTGGTAACAAAACAACAGCTTGTTCTATGGCAAAAAATAGAACGATACCATTTGTCTGGTAACAAAACAACAGCTTGGTCTATGGCAAAAAGTAGAACGGTACCATTTGTCTGGTAACAAAACAACAGCTTGGTCTATGGCAGAAAGTAGAACGGTACCACAGTCAAAGACAACACATCTAAAGCGATCGCACAAGTTTGGAGGTCTATCTCAGCCAACGGTATCGATTGTTTACACAAAACTGCTGACTGCTGACAAACGGGTAAATTCGGATCCATCCTGTCATTCCCTTAGGTAGGGATTCATCTTTCAGCAAGACAATGATCCCAAGCATACAGTAAATGTGGTGAAATGATATCTTGACGACAAAGAGACTGATGAAACACCCATAACCATGGTTTGGCCTGCATGAAGTCCCGATGTTATCATTCTTGAGGCTGTATGGGTTTGTGCAATAACTGAGAAGGTCAACTTGGCTGAATTGTGTGGAGCTATAAAGAACATTTGGAATAACAGTCCAGAATTATACACTGATAAACTGTATGGAGAAAAAATGTGTAAATCTTTGTGTAAAGCAAAAAACTCTCTCTCTCTCTCTAACACACACACACACACAAATACTAGTGCAGTGTTTCTCTAACGTAGCAGGTTTCCGGGGGGGGGGGGTCACGAGCTGTCTGCGCTGAGTGAATTTTTTTTTAGTCCTCGAGGTGTCTGAGAGGTGCACATATCAACTTTGTTATGAATTATGATGAACTGTGTTTTCATCCTTGTAGAGATAATGGGGGTCGCGACGACCAAAGCCCGGACGCGGGGGTCGTCTGGCATATCCGACTAAGAAATACTTATCCCCTTTTCTTTTGTATTTTCTGAGATAATGTTTTGTACCACTAATAAAATCACCACGAGTTGCCGTTACTCGTTGTTTGTGACATTTCCATGTATATCGATCCTGTTTCCATAATTATTTATCTTATTGTTCATTTAGTAGGAAGGTGACATGAGTTTGTTCGTTTTTTCGAAAATTAAGACAACATTCAAAACCGTAAAGCCAAATCAATTACAATTACTTTGATATTAACACAGTAGAAGGCAATTTACTGTAGGTTTCTTAACTGTAGCGAAAAAAAGTCAGTGCAAATGTTGTCAGTACTTTGTGATCAACATTACGTGAAAAGATTAACATTTAAAATGCATTAAGGTTGAATCCACAGTCATAGAGCAAGTGAGCAGACTTATAAAAAACAAGGTGGAAGCTGAGTTTAGCAATGACTCATTCAGTTTGGGCAAATGTCTTGGTATTCGGGCCGGCATGGCCAGGTGGTTAGGGCGCTCGACTCGCAATCTGCGAATCCCCGTCACACCAAACATGCTCGCCCTTTCAGCCGTGGGGGGGGGGGAGCGTTGTAATGTTACAATCAATCCCACTATTCGTTGGTAAAATAGTAGCCCCAGAGTTGGCGGTGGGTGGTGATGACTAGCTGCCTTCCCTCTAGTCTTACATTGTTAAATTAGGGACGGCTAGCGCAGATAGCCCTCGTGTAGCTTTGCGCGAAATCCGTAACAAACAAACGACAAGTCTTGGTATTGTTTTTTTACTTGCAAATAATACTTTAGTAAAATAAAGCAAAATAAAAATACTAGTCCGAGTCCAGCTATACTTAATCGAATCTAGGAAATGAATTAAAGATTCTGTGTACATGAGACTAAGCAACCTAGAAAAATATACAGAAGAGAGTGGACTTGGAAGAATTAGAAACTCGGTAATTCACTTTATAAAGAGAGATTTGCTCAAAATCGCTTTCTCTCTATTTCATTGTCATTTCCTTATGTTCAGAAACAATACTGACATTACAGGGCAAAAGTGTATTAGTACGCAGTATTTTTCGCTGTATTCAAAACACAAGAACTTTGAGTTTTGTATACTCAAAACATATGTTACAATAGGCTTTGTTTGTATTGTACAATATAAAGTCATGTTGAGTAGCTGATAAATGTACTACAGTCTTGGCCAAAATGTTTGCATACTGCATTGATGTTATTGTCTAAATGCATGGAGTAGTTATTCACTAAATGCCAGATTAGTAACCGAGAAGGCAGCGTATGATCGGACAAATATGTACGAGTTGTTATTCTGGTCTGCATAAGTTGTTTTGAGCAAAAACACATACATACTTGTTCTGTATAAA